CTAAGACTTGGAGGTGACGTAGAAACTGTGACGGCGACCGATCACCTAGTGTTTCACCTTGAAAAAGTCTTTGGATTCTTTGACTATCTGATAATGATAAACGGTTCATTATCTCTCGTAGGGCTACAAGTACTCCACTAAGCACAGTTTCCCAGCTAGATAACTTTGAGTTCACCCAACTAGGAAGTCTTTTATCCCCATCAATAGATTGCCTCCGATTCCGATATTTCTTAACTTATATAACAGCCGGTTGTGCAGAACTTTGTCAAAAGCTTTGCTGAAATCAATGTAGGCTACGTCTACAGGTAACTTTTGGTCCTTAATAGCGCACCAGCTTTCACGAGCCACTAACAAGTTAGTGAGACAAGAATAACCTATTCTGAAACCGTGCTGCTTGTCCGAAAGGATTCGTTTCTCATCGAGCTGCTTAAACAGCTCCTTCCGAATAATCTTTTCTAAGATTTTAAAAACTACACTAGTTTAGCTAACTAGTAGGTAATTCTCAGGTTTGTTTTGTACCTGTTTTGAAGACAGGACTTACTGTGACGTACTTCCAATCTTTTGGTAAACGACTCTGCGTTACTGATAGATTAAAGCATATACTTGAAGGGTTCGCAACGAAGTTAGATAATTCCTTAAGTAGCCTAGGATGCAATTCATCGGGCCCCGTGGATTTACTTATGTCAAGCTTATTTAGCGGACCAAAGACATCGAGTTCTTTAATGGTCACGCTATCCAGTGTATGTGTTGGGAAATTTGTATGTGCTGATGAGAAGGGTGCTTCTATAGTGTATACATTGCTAAAGTAGTTTGAGAACACTTGAGCCTTACCAAAGTCATCTCCCCATAGAGCAGGAATATTTCCTCTTCTCTTTGCCCTTTGGTTTGTATAAGAATACAAGCGTTTAGGACATTCTATGGATTCCTTAACAATCTTTTCTTCGTACAACTTTCTAAACTTACGGAGGGTCGAGGCACAGGTATTCCGGAATTTTCTATACTGGGATTTAGTTTCACCAGTCCCTAGCAACCTAAATCTATCCCACATTTTTCTTCACTTACGGAGAAGTATGCGGACCTCCCCACTGAACCATGGTGGGGAGTTTCTAGGCCCCCTTGGTATAGTCCAAGGGATGTGGGGTGTGGTAACTTTTAAGTATGAATTTCGAAATTCGTCTCAGGCCGTTTCAACTGAGGACTCTGGGTCTATTGTCCAATCTACTAACGATGCTGAGTGCATGATATCTGGTATATTTGCCTTCCAGACGGTAGGTCTGGATTGGGATGACTCATGCTCGTGACCGACAGTTAAATGGAAGTCGAAACTTAAAACTGCGTTATAACTTTTACCTAGGGGTGGCATATAATGGTGGTTTGCATGATCATCCTCATAGTGGGTCAGTATAAGGTCTAGTATGGATGATTTAGTGTCCGAGTCGTACCTTGTCGCTTCTTTCACATGTTGCACTACGGCACATGTGATAACCGCATCAATGAGTTCATGCTCGAAGGAATTTTCTGACGATTCAGTTTGCAGATTTTCCCAGTCTACCATTGGTGCACTAAAGTCCTCTAGGATTAGACATCGAACACTTTGTGACCAGGTATTGAGACTGCTTAACAAGACCTCGTCTACTTCACAGCTTGGACTGCGATAGACCAAACCAATCAGCAGCTCTTGTCCCTTGCATTTGAAGAGGCAACAAACTAATTCGCACGTCCCACTCTCATGGGATACACTGTCGATAATGGCGAACAGGATGGCATTTCAAATGAATAGAGCTACCCCCCCCTCTACGCTTTTGCATTCTGTCGGCCCTTACTAACGTAAAACTCTCAAAATCAATAGCATGTGTCAGCCAGGTTTCTGTAACTGCGATTATGTCTGGCTTGTAGAGTCAATCTGTACACCTAGTTCCGATCGCTTATTAAGTAATCTTCGGCCAATAATGTAGCAGATCCGAAGCCAATTTAACTGGCTTCGTGCTTCACCCAGAGCGGCTTCGGCATCATTCTCTGTCGAAGCCTTACAACTCGAAAACTTACAATTTTTAGGTCCTTTTCGCCAGCGTCTAACCTATGTTGTAGTTCTTTTTCGGCGTCCCGTCTTTTTACACGGTCTGCCAACGGTACGTCCTTTTGTAAAAAACTTCTGAACCCTTTAATTTGTGTCCATTCTGTGAAATTAGGTCACGTTCGCTCAAAGAGTTGAATACTACTTTAAGCAGTCTGGAATGATTTGGTTTCGAGTTTTCTGTTGACTACCTCCAACCACCATCTAAATCTTAATACATAGTGCCCGCAGTGTCGAGTCACCTAGACTGGTGGCCACATTGCAACATGATCGATAGCATTCGATCTGCACTAATAAGGACTAGACAAGCAAGACATTGATCACCACCCAGTGATCAATCAATTGTAATGGTTTCGAGTCCGCTAGACTATCTAGTCTGTACACGTTTAGCAAGGTGACATTGGTGATATTTTGAGGCATGAGTTGATTAAGCAGCTGTTTAATCAGCACAATGTCATGCTCAAAACGAGCTTTTCGTTCAGAGCTCTCACTCTCTTTGATTCTATGAAAAATAACTGATCTGTCACTGTGATCAGCTTTCGATTTATCGACTACTTTTACGGTGTTAGGATTTCCTATTATATTACTACGTTGTTTCTTCCTTACAACCTGCACTCATTCGTCAACGGCGCTAAGAGAAGCAATAACATTTGCATCAAACCTACTGTTGGATTCCGGAGGGTTGTCGACGACCTAGGAGGTCAGTTTATGTTTCCAGCAGAACAGAAGAACCTTCTTTTCTTGAGTTTTTGTTTAAGACAGACCTCTTTGGAGACTGTTTTTCCTTCTTTGATCGGTGTGAGTCACCTGTTTTCGAACTCACCTGAGTTTGCTTCATATCAATTCGTGTGTCGACAGAGCGAGTGCTTTTTGATGTGTCCCGAATACGCTTGCTAAAACACTTTTTCGCAGCATCAACCAGTGAGATTGCTTCGGTTAAAAATCTGTTTGCATCCGAACAGCATTGTTGACAAAGCCAAACGCAATCCCTTTTTAATGAACCTTTTGAGAGCCGCAGGCGTTAAATTCGTGCAAACCTCGTGGTACCAACCTTTGCACTCATCTCACTGCATGCCGCTTTCAACGAGATAACGATAACTCTGACGTTGGCAAGTGTTTTTTGTACTATCCGGTCATCAAAAAGGAGTCCTTTTCAAAAAAAGAGCGAGATGCAATAATGCTTAGAGACAAAAAATGATCTATGACCAAAAAAGTGCAGAACTGTAGGTTGTGAGGACCAAAAGTACTAACAGATATAGTAGAAAATATAGTACTCAAGAGTACCGACGATAAACTAATTGAGAAACAGTAAACGATACTCTAGTCGGATACTTTAACTGAAATAAATTCACATAAAGTGAAAACAGTAGTCTTGATACGTAATTAACAGTCAAAACAGTACAATTTACTCAGCGAGGAAAAATCCCACTGCCCTTTTTAATTAGCACATGGACCAGTTTTGCAAAGAGCACGGTAATCCAAAACGCATTCCAACTAGCAAACAAAATTTTCGACAACCTCAACGTACCGGGAAACCTGTTTAGATGATCCTGGTTCGTGGTGGTTCATAATCAAGGGCTTTAAAGACGGTTCTGATCATCCGCTCAACCTGCAAGATAAAAATGATAAGATTCTCTGGGAAGAGTTAAACAGGAATCCCAAACATCTCGAAATTTAACCGCTGACCGTCATACGGCTCATTTGCCAGACGGACTCCAAGCACTGAAATCATCCAAGACTCATTCATGTATGATTCACAAACATTACTGACGTAGAGGATGCTCTGTTAGACATTCACCTTCTGATATCGGATGTAAGAATACTGCTTCATATACCATATTCTGAGCACTATCTCATCACGAATATCCCTTTGGAACCTTGCAAGAAGTTCTTTTGCGGAAGGAATGTGATTGTACAAAGTGCGGTGTGCCTTTATTTCATAACCAAAGAAAAACAGCAGTGGGGAGAAGGGTAACACTGTACTTGCGATCTTGCCTGGTAGCAGACAATGTGTGCACTCAATAGTTTATCAATCTTGATGAAACTGTATAGTACGTATGTGTAGGGTCTTAGAAGTGACCTTTTAATGACTTACAGCATCCTAAACACTTCTTGGCACCCCCTTAAACACAGCATAACAGACTGTAGACGTACCTTCTATTCCTTAAGAGTGGTCAAATGCTGAAATTCGCTGCCGGTTATCTGGTTTCAGAGACTTACAAGGAGTTCTTTAAGAGAAAACTTGACATATTCTTAAGGACTAAAGATAGTGAAGATGCTACAGGTATTCTGAGTTTGACAACCCTTTAACAAGTAACACCTACTAAAAATCATGCTCACCAAGTGAAATCAAAAGACGGAGGAGAGGAGGTTCGAAGGTATATTTGATAGACTATCAAAATGTCGAGGATCGTATGATCTGATATGTCTAGCGATTGCAAGGGTTGTGGAGCACGGCGTTCCCACTCGTGATCTGGTGCGGATGCATGACCGAGCGCCTCCAGCTAGGTGAGTCCATTGAAACTAATGTGGTCAGCATCTAATGTCGAAAACTTACAGAGCTATTTATTACGGGAATTTATTGGCCGTTACAACAGCATCTCGCTACAACTTACTAATTCTTTTTTCTTTTCTTTAATCGTTAAAAATACATAGGTTCTTATCTGAAGGCATCGATGATCTACTGCTATTAGATACGGAAGCCTGTTGGGCGAAATCTCTTCCTATTCCCTCCAGAATAATTTGAAACCAATTCAATTACTAGAACTCTCTACCGTAACACGTAATATCATCACCTAATGATAGATGAGGTAAGATTGGATCTCCAAGGGATTTAAAATTACAAGGATTAGTGCACGTCACTAACCTCATATCCTTATTACTGGAGACTGAAGTCTGACATTGTACATTGAAATTGTTATTTCATGCTGGCGACTCTGTCCTCGTCAGCCGAATTAAGGTCCTTATTTCAAAATGTGGATGTTTGTGCTTTTCCTCACCTCGCTTGTTGCTTATTGTCACGGGTACTATGTAGTAGTAGATGCTAATTCGGAAGAGTGCTTTTTTGATCGGGTTGCCAGTGGTAGCAAGCTCACGCTTCACTATGAAGTTGCTGAGGGTGGTTTCCTTGATATAGATGTTAATGTAATTTCACTTAGTTCAGTTAACTGACACTTTTAGGTTTACAATCCTAGTGGGGCTAAAGTTTTTGAGTCTCTCAGGAAATCCAATGGAAGGCCTGAATTTGCTGCAAACGAAGCTGGTGAGTACAAGTATTGCTTTGGAAATCGGATGAGCTCTATGACACCGAAAGTTGTACTTTTTGAAATGGCTATAGAAGAAGACCAATTGAAAGTAAATGAAACTGACGATGGTAAATTGGAATTTCAACCGTTATTTTCACATAGAGGAGCACAAAAAGCTTGTAACAATGGTTAATGAGTTATCACACTCCATCTCTGGGGTCAAGTTAGAAATGGAATATGTTTCTGTTAGGACTCAAGTACACTGGGAAAGTATGTTTGTGTATTATGTGAACAAAAATTTTTTTTAGTTAATAAGAATACCAATTTTCGCGTGGTTGTTTGGGCTGCGTTTGAAGCATTTCTAATCATAGCCATGAGTATCGGCCAAGTTTTCTATCTCAAACGTTTCTTTGAAGTTCGGAGATTAGTTTAATTTACAAATCATCTTTGTTTTGTAACTAACTCATAGTGCTTCCACTATTTTTAGGGCTTAACCGTTTATGGTTGTACAGTATACAGAACTTTTCATTCCTATTCGTAACTGTGTTATTTTTCTTTCTGCTTATTGATCTCTGAGTACACCTGTTATATTATAATTCAGTCACTGTTGTGCTCGTATTGGTATGCTCTTGCCTACATTAACTCTAAATTCAGTGATTTTGTTTCTCTCGGTTTCCCTTTTGTTTTATTTATAAATTGGTACGTGGTTGCTTGTGAATTGTCAATATGACTTATAATAGACTTCTCATTCTTATTCAGAACACAGCCGGCGCAATAATCTTAGTATTGCTAGGAATAAATAATGTAACCGTGGTTTATGCTATAATACTTCGATATTTAGTGTGAACAGTATTAGATCAATAATATTTTCGAAACATGTTTTGTTTCACTATAGATTACGAGTTTTGCCCTCCAACTAGATTGAAATCCGCACTACATTAAGTCGGTTTAACTAAAGTCCAACCAATTTTTGCTCCAGCGCTCTCTAATTGGTGAATTATTTTCTCTAGTCTATTATGTGCTATATTCTCAGCAGTCCATTGTATTTTTCCCAATAGAAAACTGCCCATTTAATATAGCTTTTGACTTGTTACCTAAAGTTTGCTCGAATAATGAATATTTCTTGTACTAGTAGCTGTCTGTATTGTTTACATATTATTATCAACTATAGCTACATAGTAGTTAGACTGAACAAAGAAAATCAGTGTATAATAAGACGCTATCTGACTTTTGTGATTAAAATACTGAAATAGATAATCTAGAGACTAAATAAACGTTTTTTATGTGGTGGTTGTCGTACATCAAATTTGGGTTGTATTTACGAGAAATAAATTGTAAGTCAAATGGTTTACCTCAGTTTTCTTGCCTTTCGTAGCTGTATATTACGCAAAGTTCTGGCTCATCGTTTTTGACATCCAGCAATCAACCTCTAGGTTTCTGGTTCATAATCCGCTTCTAATAAATTATTCATTACAGTGGTTTCCATATAACACATGTTCACAGCACAACATTAGAATTAGTTATTTGAAGTTCTGAATTCGAAAAAAGTTCGAATAATGAGTGCTAAGAAAAACAGCTTCCAGGGAAATAATACCAATAATCTCATGTTGATCAGTCTATTTGTGAGTGAAGATCTTTATCATTAAGTGGTTACGACTACATTTCTTGCATTTAACATCCATAAAAGATCTAATTGTTGTTGTCCAGTCGTCATCAGTCCTCAAGTATTATGACTTACCACAATTCATCCTACTGATTCACATTCCGGTTTTTATCTTCATTTTTATGTATAACTAGTTAACAAAGTAAAATGCTCACTCCGACTAAAACCCAGATAACAATTATGCGTATGCTTCTTAGCTCATTGGTTGTTTACACTCAACTTCCAATTATGTAGATGGATATGATGCAGGAATTTTCTAGTTCGACTGTCATTTACTCCACTAGTAGTAAATAACCAAGACGGTAGAGATAGTAAAAGAACAGTAAAGTGTATTGTAAAAATAATGTTTAGGAATTTGAAAGATGTCCCACTAACAGCGAGTTTGTTGTCACCAGAATATTCAAACAATTAATTATTCAACTAGGAGACCTATTTCTATCTGCTAGGTTATTGACAGCCGGTGACGTCATGCTCTGACTGCACCACTTTTAATCCTTTTTGAATGTGATATGTTTGGTTAGCACGATAGACTAGGTGGTTTAATTGTGGAGCTCTAATTATCATCTTAGACAGCTACAGTTCTTATTCCACTCCTGAAAAGAACTATTAAAACACTCGTCAGAACAGGCTGACTTAGTGCTTGTAGATTAATTAAATCAGCTACTTCTGTGTGAATTATGCACTAACGATGTGCGGAGCGACGTTGAAGCTTCCCAATCAGGCCATCAAGCACATGCAAAAGCGTCCGCCTGTGATACAAATTTCTTCCATCACCTAAAATGTAAAGACTTCAGTGGTAGGTAAAGAAAATTGCTTCATCTTAAGCTCGTCCTAGAGTCTTAGTGAGTTATGTACACAACTACCATTCAGGGAAGCAAGAGCTTCTAACCATTTTTTGCAGAACACTTCAATTGTGCACTTAACTGAGAGATTGAACAGTTAACAAGACTGTAGATAACACTCAACCACAGTAGTGTTATAGAAGCTACAGAATAGCAAGGAGTCAGGAAATTTGTTTTGTGTTAGTCCCGCCTTCCTGATCTCGGATATCTCGTCCGTCTTTGTCGGCTAGTGTTTGATGGGATCACAGCACAGATTCAGAAAGCTCGATTAGCTCCTACCAACTTACGTAAATTGTGGCATAGGCAAGTTATCAATCTCCCGACCGAGGGACAAGTTCGCTTCGCAGAAGTCCGCTCTGCCCTATAGGTCTGGAGTCCGGCCATTAAGAACAGAACATATTCGTAGGTTACTAGTATTCGATCACAGGCGTTTTTGAACTATCGCTCATGTATTATGGGGCCATTTAGTGAGTCAGAGTACTAGGTAGAGATGGAAAGTAGTGGATCTTCACCAACTGAGGTGGTTATAATATGTACGATGTACACCCGACCCCTGCCTACCTCGGCGTGCAGTGTCTAGTGTGACATAGATTGGATAAATGCCAAGAGTGGCCAAATCAAGACATGATGTCAGTCCATAAAGTTGTTGACTGAGTGATGTAGGAAATTATAGGTCACCTGGTTATGATCTACTTCACTATTGTAATCATTGGTTAGATGCTTTGGGTGACATGGCCCAAAATCGTTTGTAAGGGTGTGTCCACTCACTGTTTATGTTCCCTTAAAACTCGAGTACCGAAGTCTCCTTATGTATTTTTTCTTTCAATTTGGTCTTTACTATTGGACGTCTCTTGATAGTTTTATCTCGTCATCCTAGTGTGATGTGCGAATTTGAACGAATGAATACTTTTGCAAGCTTCTATACTGGGCATGTCACGCAGAATATGAGTATTTAAAAGTCCTGAAGCATATGATGAAACAACATGTAATCTAATGATTACGAATGTGGTGAGTTGTAAATACAATGTGTCTGGTGTCAATCACTAATTCTTTTATAACATGTCGAGATGGTCATGAGAAAGTCAGTCGGACAATTTGTTTTCGAAATCGTGTGTTCATTAACTGTCCAGGAAAACTAGGTAGTGATCAGACTGTAAATTAGTGTTCGTGAGCAATATCGACAGTTTGTCAGAGACGTATCAGCACTTTTTCTAAATAAATCTCTGATTTGTTTTTAAGAGATCAAGTAAAAATATACTAATTTTGTGACTTCAGTTCCAGACTGAACCCCATCGGATATGTTCAAAGCTGTTGTTTTCTGACATTCATCACTCAGAGTTAGCGTTGTCTAACTTACAATGTTTCATGATTTCAACAGAGTTCAAAAATCTCCAGTAAGATAGGAATTTATCGAGTGGAAGACTCATCCATACAATCATTCTTGTTTACAATGATAAAATCGCACCTTTGATCTAGTCTGGTGATTATGAATTTCCATTTAATTTGATTTTTTAAGATTTCATAGTGTTTATTATTTAGGATGCTCTACATGAGATGCCTATTGGTATTTAAAAATGCTCAGAAATCACTCTTGCTTATTTACGTCTGTTACCCTAGTGTAGGAGCATAAGTCACCCTCCAGTATTCCCCACCGAACTTTTAACTGGGGAATCCTTCCCAGTTGCTATTCATCATTTTCATGCATGCTTCCAATTCTCAACTCAATGTGTTCTTTGGTCTTCCCCTTTTCAGGATCCCAAGTTAGAGCTTGCCTTATGATGCAGGTTGATGATTCCTTCAATGTATGTCCTGTCCACTTACGTAGTCTCTTTCTAATTTCCTCCTCAGCTGAAAGCTGATTTGCCCTCTTCCTCAGCAGGCTGGTGCTGATAGATCCAGCCGATGGACATTGGGTATGTTGCATAGACAACTATTTATATATACTTGTACCTTCTTAATGACGAATGTGGTAGATCTACACCATTCAGATCCATACAATAGAACCAACTTTGTTGACATTCGTATTGAAGAATGTGACTTTGATATCGGTTGTTTTGAGTTCCATATGTTGTTCAACTGTAGGAATGTCGTCTTTACTTTGCAATCCTCCCCTTTACGTCTACATTGGACTCTCCTTGTCCGCAGCAAGGAATCAGTATAGTTTTATTCATAATATTTCTCAAAATAATTCAGAATTCTCTCCGTCAAAATATTTTGAAATTTTTGTCCTCTTTAACTACTCGTTATTAGCGCATAAAATAGTTGCAAATTATGTACAACCATCGTGAGTTCAAGAAAGTGTCAAAATGAAACTAAGAATTTGTGAATTTCAATTTTTTTAGTATAGGATTGTGGAGATTATTAAGTTTTGATTGAGATCATGAACCAATTGATGTTAGACCACCTTTGGAAACCTGGAAGCGCTGGACGGTCGTTTGGTCCTATTGTGGGGCTACTCAGTAGTGTGCATGAGCGGTCCTGAGTTCGAATCGTGAGTGCACACTGCTGAGGGGTCCCACAATAGGACGAAACGACCGTCTAGTGCTTCCAGGTTTCCAACGTTGGTCTAACATCAATCGGTTCATGATCTCAATCAAAATTTCAATTTGAATTGTTTCCCGATATCATTTATTATTTCATTTTAATGAAGCTCAGATACTCAACTTGTAAAAAGGATAACTCGAAAAAGTGAATTCGGTTCCAGTAAATGAATTTACAAAACCTCAGCAGTTTTAAACTCAACACTAAGTTCGCTTTCCATTTTCCATGTTATTGACAGCCTACTAACAACTCATATAAGTAGTAAAGTTTGAAGCAGTAAATTTGTCGTTTATGCATGAAGTCCGTTTTTTGACAATACCAGGAAGTTACTACGAAATGATAAACAGTATCTTCCGATTAACTCAAGAAAGTGCTAGTGAAAATTGTAAGGAAAGATGGAAAGTGTTTCTTTTCACTGTGTGTTTCTTATGTCAAAAGGTTAAATACTAGTACGTATGAAGATTTCATGTAACAGGCTTCAGACACTTGTTCATGAGTGCTGTGATCATATGACAAGGTAGTCAACATCTTGAATACCTGTTCTTCTCCCTTAGATAAATATTCTTTCATCGTATGGAAAAAATGACCAATGACATCCTTTCAATAACAGCCAACAACATTTGAGATCCTGTTAATATTTGAATGTAGTAGTATTTTCTTACATATCCAAAGAGGATTTTTTCATATTGAGAATTTACTTTCACAAGAATGTGAATGTGTTATATTGAAGAAGGGAATTCTGTATTGGTCTTTTATTTGAATTTTTGTCATACATTTTACAACCAAGGTTGTAAAAGAGTTTTAATTCTTTATTAAACAATATTTGATCTGTAAAACCTTGTAATAATTTTGGTGATAAATATGAATTTGGATGATTTGATTATTTGACTGATCACTTACTTATGCCTGTTAACCCTAATAGAGCATAGGCCGACGACCAGCATTCTCCAATCCACTCTATCCTGGGGCTTCTTTTCTAGTTCTGTCCAAAGGTTGTTTTTTCTCCCCATATCTGTCTCCATTTCTCGTTGTAATGTGTTCTTTGATCTTGATGATTTCATGTGAGGGCTGCCTTGTGACTCAGTTGGATGCTTTCTTCAACTCTTTCTGGAGCCTCTTTGCGGCTACTGCTAGTTCCAAGCCTGAGTAAAGGAGGAGGGATGGGCATGTGG